GTGGGCCATGGCCATCCACAGTTTTATATAGTTCCTTCCTGAAGAACTGTTTTACCTTTAGCTTCAAAGATGTAAAGAGGGTGCTCAGACTAGCGTTCCCCAGTCATATTTTTAAGACTCCAAAAAACAAAAAAATCCAGTCAGGTATTATCCACTGGTCTCCTGCTGTCTGGGTCTTTCACTACTAGTGATGTCACTAGAGCCTTTGATGGTGAAACAGTAGAAAGTCACTGTCATAATGACACCTTTGGTAGCAAGTTGCTTTCATCGCTACCAAACAGTAGAACCTTGTTTCATCTGCGAAGTAGAAAACCCTTTAAGCCGGGCATGGTGGTGCACACCTATCACCCCCGCAGCTGGGAGGCCGAGGCAGGAAGATCGCTGTGATCTTAAGGCTGCCCTAGCTGTACAGGGAGTACAGAGCCAGGCTAGATTACCTAGGAAACCATGTCTCAAACAAAACGAAGCACCAAGAGGAGAACAAAACAATTCTGCTTTTAGGGCCAGTGAGATAGCTCAGCCAAACAACTAAGGGTCTGCTTAGGCAAGCACAGAGACTGGGGTTCGATCCCCAGCACCATATGCCATACCAATCCACTGGTCGTGGTAGCGCACACCAGTAATCCCAGTGCTGGGGAGGCTGAGACAGGAGGATCACCACAAGTCGAACTGCATAGTGAGACCCAGTACCAAATACATAAGTTAGTTGCCTTTGCTGTACTCCAACTTTCTTTATAACTGATCTTTATTGATGAAACATATTTCAGATTCAGTGTTGTATACATATGTGTATGTACACACACTATGTATAACAAAAAGTACAATAATCTTTCTCTTTCTTTCTTCCTTTCTTTCTCTTTCTTTCTTTCTTTCTTTCTTTCTTTCTTTCTTTCTTTCTTTCTTTCTTTCTTTCTTTCTTTCTTTCTTTTGGCCAGGTTAGCCTTGTCCTGAGGGCAGGGCTGACATGGCATGTGGTGCTGGGGATGGAAGTGAGGTCCCTTGCACCTGGCTAAGCTTGCCTAAGCAGGCGCTTTAGACCGCTGAGCTATCTCGCCATCCCTTCATCCTACTTTAGACTATTTATTTATCTCAGACAGAACTAATCCTGTCTTAGAATGTTTTTTAAACTACATTTTTTTTTT